CAGTTTGTTGGGTTGCATCCAGACCTTAGACTGGGATCCCAGTGGTGAGTGGACACCAGGCAGCACCTTTCCTGCTGGTGAGGGATGTCTGCACTTTGTGCATGTTTCAGTGCAGGGTGCCTGAAGTCCAGCTCTAAGAGGTATTTAACAACGTGAGAAGCCTCAGCTTTTCCCCAAGAACACACCTCACAGCTGTTGGCATATTTGTTCCTACAACAGAGGGAAGAGAAAGCCCTGAATATGGTAACAAATGGGAGCAGAAGAGACATCACAGCTGTACAGTGCAGTGAATCCAAGCAAGTCCTGAAAAGGTCTCATCGTCTTGGGTGGGACTTGACTCGTGATTTTTGAATGCATCTACATGGTCATTTTGCTAATATTTTTAGCTCCTCTGAGTTCTCTCCCTGTATCCATAAGTAAGGAGCCCACTGTCCAGGACATACTTCTGGGAATGTGCAGTGATCAGGGATTTTTAAGCTTAAACAAATTGACTTCTAAGTTTGCTTCTTTGTACTGTGTTGTTTTTTTTTTTTTTGTTTGGTTGTTTTGTTATTTTTGGTTTTGGTTTGGTTTGGTTGCTTTTGTGTTGTTGCTTTTTTTCCCTGAGGTTAATAAGCAAAATGTACTTAACTTGGAGACAGCATTGCAGTGATGTTCTTGTTTTTTTGTTGAAGCATCTGTGGTGAAGGCACAACCCAAAAATGGGATTAAACCCCACCTTGTTATATCTGAACACAGCTGCTCACAAGGCTTTCCCCATCCTAATACTGATTTTACGTCTGTTGATTTCTTTTGTCTCATGGCCTTGAAAAACCAAGCTAAGCCCCAAATCTTACTGTCAAATCTTGAAGAAAGCTGAAAAGCCACAAACTCAACAATCACCAGATTTTTGTTGTTGGTGGTAAAGAGACAGGGCACTAAAAATACTTCCAGCTGTCCTGTCTGGTGGAGTAGTCAGATAGGTCAGGCCGACCTGTGCTCACAGAGGAACACAAGGTGCCAGGATGTGAGTGCAGCAAATTCTGCTTGAGTTTCTGCAAAAGCCCTGGGTCCTGGCTGACACACTCCTGCCCAGGGCAGGTTGTTCAATGTGTGCCATGATTTGGGAAGAGGAGGCTGGGACAGGCAGAGCCCATAGGGAGAGATGTCCTTAGTGGCTTTCATGCCTTTCATGCCTGCAGCTCCCTGGGACCTGATTCAGGAATTTTCAGACACTTTCAAGAGGCATGTGAGAGCCTGCTGAGCAAACCTCCCTTACTCAAACCCAGACACTTGGGTAACTTTGGTCCCCTCCCCCAGTTTATTTCAGTTGCATAAGCAAACATAGGAGCAATATTTCCACCAGACTGGTGCACTCCCCTCACCTGCACAACAGCTTGAAATGGGATCTGCTCTTTACTCCTTACTGAGGACATTATAGTAATTCAAGAATATCCAGATCTACAAGGTAGGTGGGTGTATCATTCACACTGATCCAACACTTGCCACATAAATAAGCCCCAGACTCTCAAGAAGAACAAAAAATATTTTTTTAAAAATTAATAAAATAAACTAACTAAATAAATGGAGTGCTATGCTTAGTGGGACTGTAGGGCTGAAGGATCTGCAGATCTTCACTAAAGTGTCTTAAGTTTCCACCCTAATTTCCCTCAGGTGAAGATGATCTTGCTAAAATCCTGTTCTTTCTGCTTGGCTAAGGTCTCAGTTTGATCCTCTGCTCTGCAGATCCACTGATTTTGTGCCCACATCCACTTCCCAATGTGGGGCCTTTCATTAACAGCCATGAAGAACACAGGAGGGGCAACCTTAAAGTCCCCAAGATATCACCTAGTCCTAGCATGTTGTGTGCAAAGCTTAGAGAATGGTTTAAAAAGTCCTTTCTTCTTGGGGACTGAATATATTCACACTGGAAATGTTAGAAAAGAAACATGTTTATACATTTATTATATACAATATTAAGGCACAAGTTTAAACAGCAAAGAACAATAAATCTTTGGCTGACCAACAATATCAATATTTGCTGTGGGTGACACATAACTTTCTTAATTTTCCCCTCTATGTACAAATAACCCTCCAGCTGTACAACACTGTACACCAACTTCTCTATACAACCAACGACAATTAAAAAACAACAGTATTTTACAACTAGTTACCAACATCACCTGGAATGGCTACAGCACATTTCCCCAAACACAAAACAGTTCCAAGAGCTGGGAAAAGCAGCACAAATGGACCTGCACCACTCTGCTGAGAGGGGCTGATTATGGCAGTACTGCCCCACACAAGTCCTGTTAGTGCTCTGGCTGGGGGGAGACCTGCTGGTCCTCCAGACCTTCCCCCTCCAGGAAAACAAACATCTCTTGAGTTCAAAATAATTGAGGAGAATGAACTTCTGAGTTTATTTAAGCTGGGACTCCAAAAGCAGATGACATTTGTCTGCACTGCAGTCTCAAACAAAAGGTTTCCCATATGTGACCACGAATCTGGAGCAGCATTGGCTGTAAACACATCTTGGGGTACCAGAAGCTGGAGGGACTCTGGTCTCTGTGGGGAGGAGGAAGAGGAGGAGTGCTGTACTCTAGCTGAGCTGGAGAAGCTGAGCTGCACTACTACCAAACATAACTGAAAGCCACATCACTCATGCTGATCCAACACTAATTCTGCTGAATGCCCAGCTCTCTGCCTGCACACAAACTATTAATTAGTTTCATCATAAGAAATAATACAGCCGGTAATAAAATGCTTAGGGACTTCCAAGCACCTGGGTATCCTTACTACATGAAGAAATTAAACATTCACCATTGTCTTACTTGTATTCCCTTGCTTTGTCTTCCTCCTGCCCCACTCCCACTACAGACACTCGAGGAAGGGCCACGGAGGGGGTCAGTGCTGCTGCCATGAGCAGGCCTAGCTTTTATGCAAATACAACCTTTGAATTAACTTCAGAGATAAAAGATAAAGTTATTTTACAAGGCATATATTAAGCCACGTAACTTCTTCCAGGGGTCTAACACATTTGGTTTCACAATGCAAAGCTGCTAATACTTGAAAGACACAGTTGGCTTGCCCACACAACCTACCACTACTTTGTTCAACAGGTGCAAAAAACAGAGAGAGAGTGACACTGACGTACGTGTAACTCTATGTACAGGCAGAAATAAGTGCATAGATTTAACACAGCAATGTTGGTGGGTTTTTTTTTTTAAAAAAAAGGTGTCAGCCAGGCAGTACTGAGTGCAGGGCTTTGGCCCCTGCAGGCGCTGAGGTTGCAAGGACTTCAGTTTTCAGTGGAAGCAGAGTTTAAAGTGCCTGGTGTTTTCACAACCAAGGGCTCTGACCCAAAACCTACAGGAAGGGGTGACCTTGAGCCAGCCCTGAGCACACCATTATTTCCAGCACCCATCAATTTTCCACTCTAGGCAGCTTCACATAAAATCCCATCACCCATTTCCCCAAAGGGACGTTCTATGGCACACCACAAGGCTCAGGAACTGCAAAGCCAATACAGAAATACCTCCAAGAGGAAAATTTCCTGATCAGCATGTGCAATGAATGAAGCAAACAGTACACCCTGATTAACACTGCTGGTGAGTTGGCTGTCTTACAAAGACAGTGACCACCTCCTACAGAAACCAGGGACTAAGCTGAAAATGAGAAATGTTCCGTCCCAGGTAAAATGAGGTGAAAAGAATCACAGAATCACAGAATCACCAAAGCTGGAAAAGACCTTTAAGATCATCAAGTCCAGCCTATGACCAACACCACCACCACATTGACTAGACCATGGCACTAAGTGCCACATCCAGACTTTCCTTGAACACATCCAGAGATGGTGCCTTCACCACTTCCTTGGGAAATCCATTCCAACGTCTAATCACCCTCTCCATGAGGAAGTTCAGCACAAAAACAGAGGATGTTCATGCTTTGCTCTGCAGTTAAACTCTTCCTGACCTGATCCTACATCCCTTAATGCCCTGTTCCATGTCAGCTTGAACAGCAAGTTCCTATGCTCAAGAAAGGTAGGATTTGGCTGTAGGCATTGAAAATAAAGGATAAATCCTGTTCTTACCAGAAACACTCTGGTTGTTCCACTACTATGACCCAGTGCACAGTTAGAGCCATCTTCTGATCTCACAAGAAAGGTTCACTTAACTCCACTGGAAACACTCCCACACAGCAACCCCTGCCCCAAATGAGCTTCCACACCACACAGCCCTCAGGGAGCAGCTGGGATCCTTTCCTGGCTTTTCCTCTTGAAACTTTCCCATCCTCAAAAAAGGGATTGCTTCAGCAGGGTCCTCTTCCCTCCCTCTACTTTCATGCTTCAATAGGAATTCCAGTCAACAACTGCTCCTACCAAAAAAAGAAGTCTCAGCAAGCTCTGAGGTTGCAAGACATGAATATTTGCACTGTAAATCCAGCTCCAAGAGCAATACCAGGCCAGCCAGGGAAGAGGCACCTGACCTGCCTGCCCAGGAAAACCACACCACACCACTTCAAACAACTACTTAAAAGAACCTGCCATGCACATCTACGGACCAAATATTCACTGAAATTAAGCAGTTGAGAAATGAACTGATACTGAGGAAGATGCAAGTTTCTCCTGGGTTATTCAGAAAGTCCCTCTGGCCTCAAAAGACCCAGGATTTCACTCCCTGTCCTGGCTGCAGAGAGGCAGGAAAACAAAGTGGCAGTTTGCATCCAGTCTGTAACTTCACTACCTTCTCTTTATACCAAAAAATGCAGTTTCCTTTTCTCTCAACAATCCCCTTCTCACACCACATTCCATTTCAATGCCCTCTTCTGCTTGGAAAATCCCAGACATTCACTTCATTGCCCCTCTTCAGCGCTCTTGAGTTCTTGTCTTGTCCAAAGTCTTGACATCTCAGACTCAAGTTTAATTTTGGGTACAAACTTTCTCTATCCTTTTTCAAACTCTCAGGGTTAGTTTTTAAGGTTGGCACACCGAGGACCATGTTAGACCTGGCTGTACACACTTGAAACCCCAGAGATGTCACCCTCTGCTCAGATGAGGACTTCCATCATGTCTGTATCTGGAAACTCAGGCTTGTGGAGCAAGCTGCTCACTCTGCCTTTGCTGTCAGGCAGCTTCCCATGGCCTGCATTGTCTGCAATGAGAAGAAGGTAGAGTTGGTCTTCAGCTCAAACTCAACAGCAAAATTGTTCAAAGCAAATATAAAACCAGTGGTGAAGCACACCCTAAAGGTATGCCACAGAAGCACAGAACTGTCATGGTTAGGAAAGAACTCTAAGATCACTGCATCCAACTGTCAACACCCCAACCCTGTCCCCCAAAAACCAATAATTTAAAAAAATGCCCATTGGAGCATGTCCTGAAGTGCCTCACCTACACAGTTTTCAAATACCTACAGGGATGGTGACTCCACCACCTCTCTGGGCAGCCTGTTCCAGTGCCTGACCACTCTTTCCTCTAGTCTTACCATTATTTACTCAGGAGGTCAACACCCAGCTCCCTACAACCTCCTTTCAGGTAGTTGTAGAGAGCAATGAGGTCTCCTCTCAGCCTCCTCTTCTCCAGACTGAACAATCCCATTTCCCTCAGCCTCTCATGGGACTTGTTCTCCAGCCTCCTCAGCAGCGTGGCTGCCCTTCTCTGAACTTGCTCCAGCAACTCATTGAAAGCCAAATTTGATCAGAATGCCAAGAACATGTCATGCTGAATTCCCTGCACAATGTCAGTAGGTGTGTTGGTGTGCACAGACCCCAAGGGCAGGCGTAAAGCTGGTATTTAAGAGATAGAGACCCAAGTACCTCTTCAGCTGCACCTCTAGAGAGAAACAGGCACTTGTGAAAGGTCTACATCACTTCACCAAGTTACGGCTTGTCATCTGATCCACCTCTCCATATGTATATTCCTATTTGGCTTCACGTGCAAAATTGAAGAGTTTAAAACATCATGAAGACAGTATACAAATAATGAGGTAGGTGATTTAATCTAAAATGTGTTACTTTGCCAGTGGGGTGAGCTAAGAGACTGTGCATGGCCAATTATCTAAATGTATGATAGATGCTGTTAGGTGTTCACCTTCACCACCATAGCTCTCAAAAGTCAAATTCAGGGAGAAGGACTCAGATTTCTTACAAACAGGAATAGCTTGAAAGGCTATTCTGAAAGCACCACAAAACAAATTCCAATCTGGATTGCCCAGAACACAGTAATCCAGAGTTTCAAGGAATCAGTGATACTCAGCCTTAATGATACATGGCATTTTTTAGAGGGAAGGCTTGCATTTGAGACAAGATGAATGTGTAGGAAACTGGCTTTTTTGAAGTAATGTGTGTAAATGTCTCCCTTGCTAGAGCTGCAAACTGTCAGCTTCAACCTTACAACAATAATTACAATTGTGTTTCTTTACACCACCCCCACCCTCCTCCAAATCTCCAGTTTCTCCTTTCTATTTCCTTCCAGGTTTCCTTTAAAATTCAGGGACGCAATGGTGCCTTCACTGACCAAAGTTCAAAAGAAGAGAAAGGTTTGAGTACGTGAGCAGGTGTTGGTTGTTTCAAGGTGTCAGACTGTAATTTTTATCTCTGTCAACAGGAATAATTGCATTGGTTGGAAACTCCATCCGCTGCAGGCAAGTGGAGCTTTACAGAAGCTGCCAAGCATGAAGCTCTGCACAGCCAGGCTGGGCCATACCTTGGAAAGCTCTCTCCCTATGATTTTATTTTCCCTGAAGAAACCTCCCCACCACCACTTTGCAGATTGTGAATGCCCCTCCATCAGTACTGGGGTGTGTCTGGAGGTGCTTGTATTTTGCACTGATCTGGCAGAGCTCACCCAGTTTCTCACCAGTGACTCGTGTCCCCGGGGGCCGTGGGGCAGGGCTGTGTGACGGGGTGGTACCCAGCCGTCCTCGGCCAGGGAAGGAGGCAGTGCTGGGCCAGAAGAGCTCAGCACTCTTGTCTGTCTGGGTGCTGCTGTCTTTGCTGCCTGTCTTCATGTGGGAAGCTGTCGGGGCCGGGATGGGCATGCAGGACAAGGAGGGCAGCGGAGGAGGCAGCGAGGGTCCCGAAGACTGGTCGTGGTGCTCCTTCCCCAGGAGCAGCCCTGCAAACACATGGTGCTCAGTCACAACCCAGCTCAAACATAAGTAGCTGTCCCCCCCCATACACCGCAGAGCTACAAAGTGCTGGTCAGGGTATGTCTCCAGCCCTTTAGCTTGGCATAGCTTTCCCCCTTTACACTGCCTGTTGCTCTTCTCCTGACAACCACATGGTATTTTCCTACAAAATCAGACTTTTGCAAGCAGCTGCCTTTCTTGCATCCCCTGTTGCATGCACATCCCAGCAGTACACCTGGCACAGCCTCACACACCTCCAACCCCCCTGTCCCATGCAGCCCCAAACCAAAGTCCTGCACTCATCTTTTAGCTGCCACATCACGTCACATGCTCCTACTCAAAGTAATGTTCACCTTCTTCTTTAACCAGGCTTTATTTCTAGCTCAAATTTGTTATTTACTCCCACACAGTTGCAAACATCATCTGCTTGTTTCTGGTTGGCTTTCCGCCATCTACGGCTTTCTAGAATCACTGCAGAACAATTTAATATGACATCCTGGTTTGAGCCAGGATGAAGCCAGTTTTCTTCTAATTGATTTTTTTTTTCTTAAGTCAGCTCTCTTTTAAGTAGCACAGCAAGTTTTCCAGCTAGTGGACTGATTAAGCTGGAATGTTTATGTTACTGCCTTTGCTCTGCTTTGGTTTTGGATGCTAAAGGAGCAGAAGAGTCATGTCTGCAACCCTCCTGTAGGGAGGAGCAGACTAGAAGGGCAGCAAAATTGACCAGAGATATTCCATGCATACAAATACATGTAAAACTCAGTATAAAGTCAGGGATCATGGAAGTCAAGTCCCTTCCTTCCTTCTTCTTCTTCCCTTCTCTTCCATCCACAGTCAGCATCTAGGCAGGACTCCATCTATTCACCACCGTTGATCCCCAGGGTCCTGCATTCCTGACCCTCACAACTCTCCTCTCAGCTCCTGTCTGCTCTGCCCTTTCTCCAGCAGTTCTGGGACATTTCAGAACTGCTCACAGCTCAGGAAGTCCCATGGGAGTTGCTGGGGGTGGGGGGAGGTGACAGGGGTTTGCACATTCCTGAACATACTTGTATATATCTGTACATGTTTTCCGTTGTCATTATTATTTCATTAAAGCTGGTCTAGATTAGTTTTTGATCTGGAAAGACTCTCTCCTTATTCTCCCTCTTCTTTCTCTACCTGGGAGGGAGAGGATCGAGACCATTATTGTTGCTGGTTTAATTGAGGATCCTGAGTCAAACCAGGACACATGATTAAGACAGAATTAAGATACAATGCAAGATTAAAAAATAACTAATATTTTACTTCAGCACAAGGACACACGTCCTTCCCATGGAAAGTGCTCTGGAAATGAGCTGCTGAGGTGTGTGTTCCATGGCCAAGAGCACTTCTGCTAAGCTCAAGTAGAAGAATTAGGACAATGTGATGGATAAGACAAAGGTGAAGTAAAAACGGAGCTTACCTATGCTTCCCTTCCAGATCTTCTCTTCCTTCTTCTCCTCAGCTATCTGGTTGCTGGTGAGCGAGGTCTGGCGCGAATGTGTCCCCGCAGCAGCGGCGATGGAAGGGACGGAGCGAGCTGGTCGCAGGCTGGCACTGTCAGCTTTCCCGGGGTCCTTCCGCGACCGCTGCTGAAGGACCTTAATCATGGCATCCTTCTCAATGATTTTTGCATGGAGATTCTTTATCCTGCCAAAATACAAAAGCCTTGCTTACAGGAATGGAATAAACATTTATATGGGCAGCTCTCTTCACCCTGGGGCAGCTGGATGGGTCCCTGGGAACATGCCCTGCTGCTCTGTCCCTTCTGGTTTTGAATGACTCAGACAAGGCAGCTCCCACCAGTTCTCCTAAGGATACCATGCACTTGGAAACAGGGAGCATTTCTAGCTATTAAGTCAAAACTGGGAGCTCTTTTCTGCAAGGTTAACGGAACCCATCTATTGCTGTGGCTTTATCAGCCCAGCAGGAGCCCTGAGGGCAGTATCCTGACTGGGCTGCAGATTGCTGCTTTCACCAGATTATAAACACAGAAGCAATTTCCACCCTCATAATACACAGGGGCCAAATCTGGAAACCCTCCTTTAGCAGGCTCAGTTAGCCCCACAATTTGGGTCTGTTGTCAGCCAGAGTAAAGACCTGCTGAAGCAAGTAGAAAGGTTGCTTTTGGTTTGTCTAACGTCTAGGATGGGCTCTTGTGTCTCCCTCACCATTGCAGAAATAACAGCACAGTGTGCAAAGCCCAGCAAAGCTTGTCACTTCTTTCAGGCACACTCTAAAGATTCTCCAATCACAAAAAAAAATAGGATTATCTGAGACTTTTCTCCAGGAATAATTAACACTGAATCATATCAAAAGACAAAAAACCCCCTACATGTTAAGATACATATTGTACATGTACAATATGACAGCCAGACGACTATAGCTTTACAAAATCACAGAATCACAGAATCTTAGGGGTTGGAAGGGACCTCGAAAGATCATCTAGTCCAGCCCCTCTGCTGGAGCAATATCTAGTCCAATGCAGCTGCGTTTTGTGAAGCAGTGAAAGCTGAAATGTCACATCTGGAAAACCTGTACGTACAAGGGAGATAGCAGGTAACTTCATGTTGGCATTAATTTTCATAATCAGATGTCTAATTTGCAATGAAAACACCAGATCCTAATCTATCTTTAAGGAAGCCAAATGGCAAACCTCCATTACTTCACTGGAAGCAGGATTAGCTTGCATCTGTGAGTGGAAAAGAAAAACAAACCCAGTAAAAATAATCATTGATATTTTCCACAAGCAACAAATACAGCTTTTCATGGAAAGTGTCTGCAGAGTGGTGTTTTTGTGGTGGGGAAGCCAACACTGAAGAATACATTTTAAATTGTTTTTCAGTAAAAACCTAGAGGAATACACAAACTTTCTCAAGGGATTTTTACTAAAAAAAAAAGTTTTTTTCTATCTTCTACTCTTGCAAATGCATTGTTTTTAATGCTGCTCACGGTGCTAAATTTTGCATGTTTGCTCTTAAATGCCAATATGATTGTCACACAACTTGGATATGTGAACTCAGTGTATCTAGAAAGAGCACTATGCAGGCAAGGAGCAAAGAGCAAGGCAACGGCAAGCCCTCACATTACTGATTATGTAGTGGTGGGATTACAACTTCAGCTTTTACAACCAGACGCTCTTGATTCCAGAGGGGGATTTTCACCAAGATTAAACAAGCACTCGGCTTCCTTGCACGCCAACACTACTTTTAATAGCAGAACAGCCTCTGTTTTGTAAGAAGGTGTTTTTTGGCACAGGGAAGATTTAACAGGAAGGTAGGGAGGAAGTTATTTAACAAATGTAACTCTTTAATCCCTGTTTTAACGATGAAGAGCAATACTAAGTCAAAGTGAAGTTAAGCCCATGCTTTCCAGGCATGCATGAAGGAACAAAAGGGCATCCTGGTTTCTCTAGCCCCATGGGAAGCAGGTACAGATGATGGCCCCTTACGTGTACTCCATGTCCTGGCAGCGCCGGTTGGCTTGCACGATCTCTTCCTCCTCCTGCCAGCCCCGCACCTCCAGCGCGCTCTCGCTGTAGCTGCCATTGCGCGAGTGGCTCGGAGCGGAGGTGTCCCTGGAAAAGTGGTTCCACACAGTGAGTCAGGCTCCTGAGACTGCAGGGTTGGCTCTTCCAAGTGAGATTGGCACTTGCAAACAAAACTCCAAACCCACACTCAAAGCTCAAGCTAGCAGTGGTTGCCTGCCAAGTGGCTGGCTATCTGGCATTGGGTCATCTTGCTGCAGGCTACTCTTGGCATGGGTTTAGTCATTAACGCCATTAATTAACTGGGCTGATGGAAAAGAGAGCACAATGAAATTGTGGGCAACCCCTACAGGGCTAATAACCATCCTGAAGGACAGGGTCAGACATCAGAGGGACTCACTCACTTGGAAAATGGTCCCAAGTAAACAAGACTACCTCAGAAACAAGAAACGAAATTGTACACTTTGGAATTGCTGCCTAGACTGGAGTGCAAAAGAAAAGGATTATTCTGAGTAATGCACTTAACTGCATTTCAAAGGGAAATCTCATTTAAGGATGTATTCCAGGGATTTGGCTTCTAAGAAACTGGAGTGAGAAATTAAGTATCCAGTCCTCCTCTTCACTGGAAAGCTTTGCTGCAGTGCCTTGTGTCTGAGCACCACGCTTTGACATCAACACGCAAACTGGAGACAGTCTGGACAAATGCAACAGGAAGGGGAAGGGGTTCACACCAGAACTGAATGGCTGAAGGAAGTAAGTCAGTTCAGGCCAGGGAAGATACAACAGGGGATATTTGTCCTCCAGAATTTAAAACATCAACAGCAACCTGTTGTTCATCATGTACACCTGGGAATGACAAGAAAAAATTGAGGTACTTTGCAGTGAAGAGGCTTAGCTTAGTTATCAGGAGAACCTTCCTATTTGAAGCTTAATGAAGCAGTGAAAGAGGGGTCTTAGGCCACAAAATTTCCTTTGTGACAGGTTTTTAAAACTAGGATAAACAACCATTTTGTAGAGCGTGAGATGGATGCAGCCATAACCAATCGTCCCAGCTCGCTCCATCGGTGCAGTGAGGAGGAGCTGCCTTACCTCTGCTGTATAATTTGGCAGCCTGAGACTTTGTTGTTGAGGCCATTTGATAAACTTTTAGACCTGGTCAGAAGGGTAAACCCTGTCTTAACCAAATATTGTACCTCACTGGCTTGACACCATGGAGAGGTATATTAGACCTGGCAGCACGACTCAGTAGGGAAAGGCAAAAAAATTCCAGCCTTAAGAAAATATCCATTCCTTACTATTCCCCCATGCTCTCTGCAGTGAAGAGAACTGTCTGCTTGCAGGGAGGCCATCTTACCTCTCTGTTGCAGCTGTGGCTGCAGCATTCATGGCAAAGTGCCTGATCGTACTCTCCTCCAGGTACTTCTGCTCCCACTTGGTCATGTCAGCTTCCAGGGCCAGGATCCTCTCCTCCTTCTCCCGCACCAGCTCCATCAGGGCTGGGGCATTGTGCTCTGGGAGGCTGCTTGCCTGGTAGCTGCCCTGCCTCTGCCAGAAGAAACAGCAATAGATATTCACCCCTTGCCAAGTACAGGTGCTGCCAGCCCTTTTTTCCCCCACATCTTCTTTGGAGCACACAAAGACATTCCCATGTCTTTTGACCTCCCCAGGGCAGGTGGAAACCCCAGGCTAAAACCCTTATGTTGCAGGAGAGGCAGGTTGACCATGTGTGCAACCCTAGCACACATGTCTCTGGACCATGTTGACAGAAGTAGGGGTCCAGCTCTCCCTGATGTACAGGGATTTCATGGGCTACTCCAAACCAAGAGAAAAGCTAGGAAAGAAAAGTTAGTAGGAACAAGAAACAATGAAGCTTCAAAAGATAATTTTCTTGTTGGGACTTCATTCCACAGCTGGGCAGTGCTTGGTATGCATGGCAGCTATTACCAGAGGGTTCATATATAAAAGCAGAAAAAAACCCCAACAAGTGGCACATAACATAGCTACATGTAACCTATTTAAAACAGCAGCTGGGAAAATAGCCCAGACACTGATTTACACCTATATCTTCTGGCACATTGTTCTCCTGTGTCCTCAGAAGATGACTTCTGTGGTGCATCAGGTAACTTAAGTTATTGGAGGGGCAGAAGATTCCCAGGTGCTGTGGGATTCCCAGCTCCCATGGGATGCTGACAAGCAGCAATGGGTGTGTAACCCTGGGTATCTATGCTTTCACAAAAGCACTTTCCCAGGCAGGTTTTATCCCACCCAGTTACGGGCACTTAATTAAACCCCCTTAGTGGCATGGGTAGCTCCTTTCACTGCTGGTGGAGAGCAGAAGAGGCTGGAGGTGGCTTAGCAGAGGTTCAGAGCGATGAGCCTATGCTGGGGGAAGAGGCATGAAGCTCTGGAAGAAGTCAGTACAAGTAAATGTGTTTTGTTGGGTTTTTTTTTCAATAAAAAATGCAAGTCATTTGTTACACTTTAAACTCCACTGTGCACAGAATTGTGTTAAAGGGGAAAATGTGTCTCGGGAGCACTGGTTTCTCATCTGTCCTACACCACAAACTTCCACTGGCAAAGAGGTTCCCTGGCACAGTCCCAGCACACCAGAGCCTTTGCCTTTGATGCAGTAACATGTTTGGAAGCTGCTTTTGGGAAATGCAATATGGAATGCCCCTTAGCAGCAACAGCTGCAACTCAGCTCCTGCAAAAAATACCACTTACACTTCAGATACTGCTCAAACTCTGGCTGGAAGGTAATTGGAAGGCATAGTCCTGGTCTGTAAATGGCATCTTGGAACACTGCAGGTGCCTTTTACCTTCATTCTCAGTGAAAACCTCTGCCAGACCTGCATGCTCAGCCTGCAATGCTAAGTCAAAGGGATTATTTTTTTGTCCCAGTTCATGCATCAGTGATAATGAAGATTTGCCATTTGGATGTGGTTACCAACAAGCCAGGACCAGAAGAGATTCTGGCTCACTGAGTCTGGTAAAAAGGAGAAAAAAACTCTTTTATTTTTCTCTGCAATGATAAACTATTTCAAAAGACATAACTTTGGTAACTTAAGAAAATAGCTCTGAAGCAAAAACTTGGGGCATTTTGAAGCAAGATGATTCATTGCAGGGTTGTGGTTCATAAAACAAAAAGTGGAAATAGTAAAAAATATCCCAAAGCCTCCTCTCACAGCTACAAGGTGAGATGTGAAGTCAGAGCATCTTCCTTCTTAAAACCTGTTAGAGGGAGCTGGTGTAGGCATCTGAGAACTATGGCAACACAAAATGCAGCTGCTGATTACAATGCCAAAAAAATTCAAAAACAAAGCAATCTCTATGTTACAGAGGAATTTTCTGCCAAAATAGCCTGAACTCCCAAGACAAGGACTTTGTCAACAGTTCATCCCACTTGGTTAATACATTGATTTGTCCCTCAATTCCATCTCAGAAAACAAAAGCTTTTCTAGTTCTAATTTTACCTACACTGGAATTTTAATTGTTTTCTCCAAGATTCTTTCATTTACACCAGCATTAGCATGTCATACCCCAGGTAATTTCTTTTTTAAAGAAAAAGCAGGCTAAGGGGCAATTGAGAAAAGCCACTAGAAGAAGACAGGAAGAGCAAGCCCATATGGACAGGGCAAGAGAGACTTAACATACTTTAACAGCAGCAAGGAAGAGCCAAGACAGATGGGAAGGGAGAATAGTGGACAATGATGCCACTGCTGGGGGACCTGCCTTGCCCTGGGTCTGCCAGTGAGAAGGGGATGCTCTCAGGTCAGGCCACCTTGTGACTGCCAACCACTGATGTTGCTCATGGTGCTATTTCCCACCCACATCCTGCCAGCAGCATCACAGCCTCTGCCTTCCAGAAGGACAAGCTCTGTGCAACAGCTGCTTAGGCCTCCACTAATGGCTCATAAATAAGGGTTATTGTAGCAGATGCACTTCTTGACAGAGATATTAGTGAGCCTTTCAAGAGTTACAAGTGCATCATGCTTTGTTTATGTTGCTGTTTTTTCCCCAAGTGGTGCTTTGATACACTTGGTACATCTGCTGGCCAATGACTGTGCATTTGGCACTTGGTGCTGGCTCTACCCTGGAAATCCTCCTGCCACCTCCCCAGGCTTCTTTCCCCACTTTTCACAGATGACTGGATTTGGGGATGGAGGAGAATGTAAGAGATCATGTTAGCTATCCAAAAGAGTAACTGTGCATAAAATACATACAGAACACTATCCCTCTGAAGACACATGGCTGCCAAAAAACCAAAGGGACAGAAATGCAAAACTACACTTCTAGCCTATCTGGACTGGAGTGGTTTTAAATAATTTATTGCCTGAAGATGATGACACCATTGGACTCAATGATCCTTATGGGTCTCTTCCAACTCATTACATTCAATAATTTTTTGTTTTGTCTCCAGATCTGTTATGGACAGAGGTTTCTGTAAATGAAGTACACAATCACTGTCCAGACTGAATATTGCCTAAGCTCTTGATTCCACCTAATTCCACATCATCCCACTTTGCATTTTCAACAGCAGATCTGCCGAAATCCGTAGGCTAAATCTCATGCTCACATGTACTGCACCTTTCCTCTCTCCCTTTGGTGTCAAGCTGATCTTGCACAATCTGGAGATTTCTGGAGAGAAACCTGGAAGGATGCTCTCCCTTGGCAGGTATGGCAGGACATATGAGGGTAGAGGACCTCCCAAGGGAGCCAGGACCTTTCAGCCCCGCAGCAGGCAGGGCTTGGCTGTGCCCAGCAGCTCCACTGTGGAGCTCCCCCATCTTCTGCTGAAGGTCAGGAGTTAGAATCATAGAATGCTTTGGGTTGGAAGGGACCTTCAAAGGTCATCCAAGTCCAAGCCCCTGCAACAAGGAGGGTCATCTTCCACTAGATTAGGTGGCTCAAAGCCTTGTCCAATCTGACCTTGAACACTTCCAATGAGGGGGCATTCACAACCACACCCAAAGGAAAGTCTTCGGTAGAAAGCCCAACAACCTGAACTCACAAGCACGTAGGCACCTGGCAGGGCTGCAAGTGACCATCCCTCTGTAAAAGCACCACCAAAGGCCCCTCCTCACCTGCTGCATCCGCAGCGAGTCCAGCTCCCGCTCCAGGCGTGTGCGCAGCCGCCGCTCCATCTGCTCCCGCTTCTCGCAGGCCGCCTGCAGCTGTGTCAGCGCCTGCTGCAGCTTCTCCACCTTCTCCACGTAGGCCTGCTTCCTGCGCAGCTGTGAGGGACAGGGCTCAGCAGTGCTGGGGGCAGAGAACCCCCACCCCAGGCCCCCAGCACCCCTGCGCCCTTGCAGGGCAGGCATTCATTGGGCTTGAGCATGGCTTTGGCCATTTGCTTCAGAGTTTCTCCAGTTTCCCCTTTGATGGCCAGGGAAAGGGCATGGCAGACCTCACTGGGGCAGCTCTACCCCTTTCAAAGTGAACAGATTATCCACCCACTGGGGATCTGCTAGCCAGGAAACCACCTGGTCATTTCTAAGCAAGAGCCATCATGGTGGTGGATACTCTATGGGCAAGCACACAGGCTGGCCTCAGCTAAGAGAAATCCTGGAGGGTTTTATTGATTGGTGACACTCAGCACATTGTCTCTGCACCCAGAGTCTCTTTTTTTGAGCTGCAAATCTGTTCAAAGCAGGTGGAACAAGCAGAGTGTCAGCAGCCAGAATTGCTCCACTTGCTCTATCCTGCTCATGGGCTTGATTGTGCTGAGGTGTTGATGTGCTGGCAGCTAAAGTGGGGCCCTGCTCATGTATATGATGCCATTACTGAAGGCTAAACATGACACAAGGATTTTTCAATACAGAGTTTTACAGCCAGAGATTGCTCAAGCAGCACAACCCAAAGGGAATCTGCAAGTGGACTGCGGATGTTCAGGGTGCTTAGCAGCTATCCCTACTTCTTTTGGCCTCCTGCAGTGCCACCAGGCATGCAGTGACACCACAGGGTATCCCGCTGGAGGCTCACAGCAGGAGCTGGCATGTTACAGAGTCCTCGGGGACAGGAGGCTGTAGTCAGCAGACATGCTGGGCATCAGCTGAGCTGGGCACCGGGATGGGCAGCAAAGCCTGTGCTGAAACCTGACCCCTAGCCAAAACCTGACACCAAGAAGGGACAAACTCGGGTGGGCCACACACACCTGGGTGTCCATGAGCCATCCTCATCCCTGGGCAGTGTGGTATGAAAACTTGCCCTTGGGGCTGCAGCAGTGGGGTCTGCCCGCTCATCCCACAGGCTGCAGTACCAGCCAGGGGAAACCCAGATCCCCTCTTCTCCCCCAGCTTTTTGTAATTCATTTTATCTTCACAGGCATAAATTTACAAATGTTTGTAACTATTCAAATATTTAAATATAACATGATATTTAACATAATATTTAAATATCTATAACTAAATTTAACTTTCTAAAGATATCTGCCTGGTAGTAAAGAAAGCAACAGTGCACACAGACTGAAGCTGTAAACCCCAAAACGACTCAACAAACCTCAAAAGACCCCAAAACACTCTTGATTTAACCCTCTGACTTGGAAAGGGAGGGTGAATCAGTTTGAAGGCTGGATCATGTAGACTTTTCTAAGCCTCAGTTGGACCCCATCTGCAGTCTGGGGGTTAATAAGGGATGCTTGAGGTCATTGCCATGATCATTAAGATTCTCTTTAGGACTTCTAGTCTCCCTCATTTATTTGTACACTTGTTTGTGACCTGAAGCAAAGGAGGAGTCAGAAAAACACATTAACCCCAGCTGACATTGAGTAACTATATAAATAAGAGAGGCTGGAGAGGTGCTGTGAGCTGGAGAGGCCAGGGCCCAAATTATATCCCAGTGCCTACCTCATTTTTAAGTACTCAAATCAGTATTGAAATTAACTGCAATGTAGGCTAGGATACAGGAGCTATGGCCACAAAACATTTGTGTCTAAATATCTAGGGGATTTAGTGAGAAGCTTGCTGCCTTGTTCCTGGGCATGTGGAGCAAACAAATCCTAGTGCTGGGTCCCCTCTCCTCTGTGGGGCTGCCCTTCACCCAGAGTCCTCTGCTTAGCCCAGGACTTCCATGCTGCAAAGATGTATTGCTTTTTACTTGTGTGATGCTAGATTCAGCTAGGTCCCCTCCCACTGATTACAATGATAATTAAATAACTTTTTCTTGAAATTCACCTTCTGCCACACTAAATCTATCCATGTCACAGGTGAAATACAGGTTTGCTCACAGCAAAAGCAAAGCTCCCCAGTCAGAACCAGTGACTGGCAGTGTGACCTCCCCAGCCCTGCTGCAATCCAGGCTAACACTTAACATCTCCCAGGGCTTTCCATGAAAATGAATGAGATTATAACCCCCACTAGTCTCTGGCAGCAGCACGAAGACTGCATTCCTCAGGAGCTCACAACTTGGCAAGATAGACACAGTGGTGGCTTCTTGCTGAATGTGCTATTTTGGCAATAGGAAGGTGCCTGTGCCACCTCGCAGCTGCATGAGCATGTATCAGAGAGGGGAAAGGGGGTCCCCTGGGGTCCCTCCTCAGCAGCAAACCTCATCAGGTCTCTCATGTCCTGCTGGATGCCGGTGGGTCCATCTGTACTGCAGCAGACAGAATGTGGCTTTGCAGCAGCCCTCTGAGCCCCAGGGTTGACATGCTCATGCATGAGTGCACCTTTGCCTGTGGGGGAGGCAATGTACATGTGTCCATCACCTTAGAAAAAAATGTTGTTGCAGATACGCAACAAGACAGTTCCCACATTCATAAATTTATATGGAGGTTCTTGAGACAGATCTGGCTTTTTATCCTGCCTGTAGATGCATAAGCAAAAAATTCATCCACGTTTAAAAAATGAAGGACAAAATGTTGTCATTTAAATTAATGGGCTTGTCAGTGCAGTATGCATCTGTTAGGGAGGGGGACTGCAATCAGAAATACATGACTCTAAGCTCCACGACCTCACAGATACACAGACTCAAATCAGAAAAAGCTGGATGGCATCTGGAAAGGTACCAGCCCATCCTCCTGCTGCAAGGGAAGGTCAACTCTACCTAAAACCTAGTGCATGTCTATATAATCTGCTTACAAAACCCTTCAGGAGTAGGGACTCCAAACCTCTTTCTGCAAACTACTTCATGGCTTATTTTCCTTTACTGCCAGAAAACTTTTACCCTAATGCCTAATCTGGCTTTCTCTTATGCAATTTAAGCAAATTACTTCTTGTTCTCTTTCCAAATTGAGATGTACTAGAGCAAGAAGCATTTAATGAAACAATTCGCATATTCACAACATCAGCAAACTTGCCTGAACACTGTCCTTGTCCCAGGGCTTAGGAAAATAAAGATGAAGAAGAGCTAAGGCTAAAAGGGTTTGATCGAAGCAAATAAATCTGAGTAAAGATGACTGGTCTCTTGGAAAAATATCTGAACTAGAAACAGAACTCCAGTTTGAGCTACAGAGTATCTATTCTACGTATTTGAGTCTCCAGTTAAAGACTGTTAGAGAACCACCCTAAGTAGGTTGTTTCAGTGTCAATTACTCTAACTCTTTGTTTACAGCCCGATTTGCTCAGCTTCAGCCTGCAAACACTGCATCTCATTATTTCTTCTTACATTAAAAAGCAATGTTTAATCTGGCTGACAGCAATCCCTTCTTCATGTTCATGCGCACGGACTGGAGCTCAGCCACCTCTTCACTCTAATTGTTCACAGCAAATAACAGCTCCTGGGCCCCAAATAATTTCTACAGCAGTTTTCTGAGCCCTTTCCAATTATTCAGTCTTCTATCCAAAGCATGGAGCAGACACACAATTCCAGCAGCAGTCTCCTAAATGACATATAGTGATAATACCATCTACATATTTTTGAATTAAATCCTTCTACTAGCAGGCACTCAGGATAATGTAGATTTACATAGTACTCTATATTATGTTAATTCCACTTACTAGCTACTACTTATTTTTCAAGCCTTGATTTAAAAAGCTTTTAAACCTAATTACATTCTGGTGGTAGAAGAAATCTGGGTGGATTTACAATGCACTGCATGAGGTAGAGCTCTGTTAATAATACTAGTAATTTTCATTTGAGTGATTTTGTGTTTCCTTCAAGATATTCTAAATTATAATAAAAATCCCTGGTTTAAGATGAAGGTTCAAGTCTTCAACAATATCTGCTGCATATGTGTCAAATTGAGCTCCAGAAACAACAGAAACTGTTGAAATGATGCTCTGATTTAGTGACTGAACAGGCCAAAAGCAAGGGAAAGGGAGCAGAGGAGATTGGGCAAGTGCTGGCAACACCTCACTTGAGCTGCATGACACTGGCTTGAATAACTAAAACAAGGCAGATGAGATAAAATTCATTCAAAATCCCTCTAGAATGAAAAATTCAGTTAAACACTACCAGGCCAGTGTGGGTTTGCTCACACTGAGGGGTCTGACAGACAAACTCTGGCAAATACCATTGCATCACCTTCAGATGTTGTCACCTGAGATCTACAATACCACAGGCAGGAGGTTACCACCTCCATAACATCTACCACACCCTGGGCAGATTAGCAGCTCTATAAAGGGGAACATTCACCCTCTCCTCAGCTCTGCCAGTCCACAGTCCAGGATCCTAACTGTGATCCCCAGCAGAGGCACATTTCTGTAGGATGACTAGACTAGAAACTGGCAACTGCAAAGCTCTTAGAGACAGAGCCCTAAGGCTGCAAATGTATTCACTACAGCCCAGAAGGCACAAGGTAGCCTGCACCACCTGCATGGAAACCTGCATCTATGCTTCTGCTGCCCTCACTGGTGTGTATTCAGCAAGTCAATGTTACCTGCCAATACCCCACTGACAGTCTGCAGAGCAGGCAGGAGCTAAACCTTCTTTTTCCATTTCCTGCATGGTGCTGCTAGGAGCAGACATTGCCACCTAAAATGTTCATTTATTCAGCCACTTTGTGATGAAATGCAAATAGAAAACCTTTGGTTGCTTTGAAGGCAAACAGTGTCAAGTGAATTATGTACAGATTAAAGGTACAGTGGCTCCTGCAGCTGCCCCTAAGGGCCTGCCCCAAATACACTGGGATGGTGAGGAGGCTTTAGTCTAACTAACAAAGGAGCAGTTACACTTAGTGTGATCCTCTTCTTCCATCAGAGGCAAAGAAGATTTTAAAGATTTTAAAATGTTTCTAAATAGGAAATCAGAATGGTCTAATGGTCAGGAACCAAACAGCAGTGCCTTCAGCACTTACATATATATATGTATACACACACACACACACACATATATATATATATATATATACATATAGCAACTTAAATCTTCCAGACTCCAAGAAACCTAAGTTAGCCTGACAGGGGGTCTGGTTATCCTGATTTAAAAAATCAAAATATCACTGAGGGCAATTCAGCCTTCATCATTCCAAGACAATGAACTAACTGCAACAAAGTTACCTGCAGGTATTTGAGAAAGGACCTTCCCTGCTCTTCACAAGACCCCTTGCATCTATGCACCCAGCAGGCTCCTGTGGATTTGTCCCCAGGCCAGCCCTGGGGAGGGTGCAGGTGGGCAGTGAGGCAGAGGAGGAAAGGCCTGCCCAAGATCATGCCAGCAGTCTGTGCCAGAGCAGACTCAAACCTGCCAGGTGCACATCCTTCCCCTCACCCATGGCCTGCCCACTCCAACAGTAAAGATTATGTTTATTTTATTCCCCATAAAGCATCCTCCTTTTTTGCTGGCCAGAGGGCTAGAGATTTTAGGGCCAAATAGGTCTGTTTTGAGAGTCTTGCCTGATCTGCCAGAGTGCATAGGCTTTCAGTTAATTATTCAATCCAAAACTTTGGGCTGAAGGTCTCAAGGAACAAAATAAATCTAGATTCAGGGACCTCCAATAATGGAGAACTGAAATCACTCTTAGTTACAGTTAAAACTGAGCATTATTTCCTCTTTGAATTTGTGTCACTCCAGCTTCCAGCTACTAGATGTTGTTCTGTATTTGTGTGTCAGTTTGAACTGCCCTGGCTTCCTGGGATTTCTCTTCCTATCTGAGTATCTTTTTTTACTATCAGGTTTATAGAAGCCTTAAAGACCTCTTTGGTTTTGCACAGATGGCACTTCTTGGGTCTCGTGGTAATGCAGGTGTTTTCCAGCTCTCAAATAAAACCTGTAGCTCTAAATCCTGGAAGGTCTGTCTCCAGCCAGATCAGTCAGCTCTTTTAAGAACACTGTTCAGATGCGAAGTTACCAAGCCCTACACTGTGCATATCTCAAAGGTCTCCTGGAAATTTTTTGGGAGAAATGGAATGCACCAACATCACGTTTGTATTGCAGTCCCCAGTCAGTGAGTAGTCAGCTTTTTATTTTATATTTCTGCTGAGTCCTACCATTACCTCAGCTACCAGCTAGCTGAGTTTGGTGCTGCTTGTTACATGTTGAAGGCTCTACTCTGAAGGCTCTACTCTGAAAACATCTATGGTTGTGGCCTCCTTTGCTTGCTTGTTTGGCTCAATATTCTATGCATTTCCTTTATAAGGAGACCAGTTCAAGGGGAGTGGAAAGACCCACCACACCAGGGCTAGAGGAGATTCAGGACCCAGATGGAGAAAGCCCTCATCATGAGCCACCACTAGCCTCAGAGCAGAGAAATGTTGCCCATGCCTCACCTCCTCTTCCAGCTTGATGACCTTGGCTTGCGCGTTGTTTAGGGCCTGGTCGAGGATTTCGATGTGTCTCCGCTGGTCCTCGTTGGCAGAGCGCACAGCTGCCAGCTCCATCTCCAGCTTCTCCTTCTCCTTCAAGTGCTCTTTGTCTGCAAGAAAGACAAGAACAAGAGCTGCTCTAGGAGGACAGCTCACAGGGCCTGTGCCACGTGCCACAGGTAAGCTGCTACATCCCTAGAAAAGCAAAAATTGTGTGAAGCAGCAGTGAGTGGGGCCATTACAACACAGTGCTGAGTCACAATGAGCAAGATGTTCCTACTGCCAAGACTCAGCCTCTCCATGCCCAGCCTCACACAAGCACCAGCAGCAGAAACCAGTGGCAGCTTGGGTGGCATCTGCACTAGAAGAGCTTGCAGACCCGAGCACTGCCTTGTAATTGTCCATTCTGCTGAACTACTAGCATGTTCCCTGACAAAATTTTGGCTTGCACCTGCTACTCCTTTCCCACATGACACCCAGGACAGCCCACATCAAGGACTGTTTATAGCTGCCAGCTTGGATGTTGCTGCCCTTCTCTAAGAAGCAAGAAACTTCAGCCATGTGGATGTGAGCTGTACTGTGCCTGGCCCATTTTATTTGCAAGGATGGAGATAATGAAATATAAAACATGTGAGGAAGCTAAATAATAAACACAGATCCATGCTGAACAGTTTGAAAATGGAAAGAGGGGAAAACAATAAAGAAGAGAAAGATAGGAAGCATCTGATCAGGCTTTCTCTGGCCATACAGAGAATGGGGGGCTTTGGGAGGCATTCCAACCCTGTGGGGGCCCTGGGTGACTTTCCAGTACTCCTCCAGGGGTCCAGCAATCAGTACTTCTCCCTTATTAAGCACCCTAAAGCACCAGAGTGAGACTAAAACATGTAGATAACCTCTGTGATGAAAAATCATCCCTGTTTTGGGTAAGATTTAAAATTACATTAAAAAAAACCACAACTGGCTAAATTCAGTCAGCTTCACTCACATCTTTTTCTTTGGCAACAAACTGCAGGCCCACCACTGACTTCATTGGCAAGCTGCCTGGTGGAAGGCTCAGCTCCATCCACCTCTGCCCTGACAGTGCTGAGAAGCCATTTCAGGGAACACAAGCATCAGTCATTGGATCCCTGACATTGGACCACAAACAGTTAATGACTGGAGGGAGCAGGGGATGGATTTCAAAATCTGGCCTTCCTTCTAACTGACAACAAAAATAGAGCACTTGGCAAGCCTCCAGGAAGGGAAATTTCCTCAAAAAATTAATTTGGCATCAATTAAGCCTTATTTTGATTTTATATTTTTTAAACACAGTATTTTTACAAGTGCTGCACAGACTGTGTGTCACAGTTTGACTCAGGTCCGACAACAATGCTCTCGATCCCCCCTCCCCCCAACCCAGGTAGGGAAGGAGAGAGAGAAAAAGAGAGAGACTTGGCTGGATTGAAAACTAAACTACACAGCTTTAATTAAAACACTAATGAATGATACAAGAAAATATATATACAATTATATACAGATATATTCAGGTGTAGGCAAAAGCCTCTCGCCTCCCCCCACCCCAGCAACTCCCACAGCACTTCCCTGATCTGGGAAGAGTCCCGAGGAATCCCGGAGCTGCTGCTGGAGAAAGAGCAGAGAGTTATGGGGGTCAGGAGATCTCGAGCCTAAGGGTCGACGGTGATGGATGAACAGAGTCCTCCCCGGACGCCGGCCATGGACGGAAGAGAAGGGAAGAAGAAAAAGGAAGGAAGGTGTCTTCTGTGATCTCTGACCTTCCTCTGAGCTTACGTAGATATATGGAATGGAATATCTTTGGCCAATTTTGCTATCTGTCTAACTCAGCCTCCTACGGGGGGTCACAGATCTCCCCATAGTGTCTGAGCCGGCAGAGTGCAGGTGCAGCCTTGAAGCCTCAGTAGTTAGAAAAACATTCCACTGTCTTATCAGCCTAGCAGAACACACTGTTGCTAGTTACAGGAAAGCTTACTGAAGGAAAAAAAAAATCACTAGAAAGAAAAATTGGCTTCATCCTGGCTCAAACCAGGACACTGTGCCACCAACTGCCACCATAAGCCATCTTGGTATGACATGGCCTTAGTCTTCCAACATCAGCAAGAAATTTTATATTGGACATGCAGGTCTCTTCTTTTAGTGCAAAGACATTCACTTCAATCAGATTCACCAAAAGGAACATCAATATCTATTGTATGAACGTGTAAATCTGGGCACATTATCAAGCAGCTAATTTCATTAGAGGGTGAAGAAGCTGGAAGCTGAATGCTGCTTCAGGCCTGTGGCACTTCACCATCTCATGCTGGGACCAGAGTTGCTGTGCTTCAGATTTGAAACACGTATTATAGGAGGACAGCACATAGCAAAATAGGATTTGAGACCTTCACTTTCCATTTTCATCCAAGGAATTCAAAGCACTCAACTTGCTCTGCTGCATTACATTTTCTATCCCACCCTAAAAGAAGGACACAGGGCACATTTTTGTTCTGTATACAAAATGACCACTGAACCCCCTAGAAAGCTGACAAGAAAAATTTTACTTAACAGCTCTCAACACTTCTTCATGTTGGCTTCTCACTCCAAAATGCTGGAGGCACATTTTCGAAGTACTTTCCTATATTGCACTAAGTTTTAGGAAAGAAGGTCTTTGTTGAACATACCTTAAATTCTCTTCAAGTACATGCAGGTACCCTTGAAGTCTGAAAATACTGATTTACTGTGCTACACTTGCATGTACCTTCTGCCCAGGCATGTGCTTTTTACCTAACAGAATCCAGCTAAGAACTCTTTGTACTTCCTGGAGGATCACTTCTACACCCCGTGACTAAACAGTCCCCAGAAGGCCACTCTGCTGTAGTTTACAGTTGTAATCTCCCAACTTTCCGCTCACTGCCTCTGACTGTTGGACCTCAACCCACTGAGGACATGACACTGATACCCTGTGGCTGGTAGAATAAAGAGAAGGATGAAGCCAACAGCCTACTTCAGTGCTTCATAAAAAGGCTTTTGCAGTTGTCAAGCTGGGTAGGTACACCAAGGGTAGACCAGTCTTGACCCCACTTTGAAGCAGAAACACTAGGCAGAAAGATACACGCAATCTGCACTGACATTAATAATTATTATCAATCATAATGTACTTAATAAATGGGTTGGTACATGGTTACATATGGTCATTCACCTAGCAGGATGCAGAAAGGTTTGATGCTCTGTTGCCAGAGGAAGTCATTAAATCTCCATTGAAACTCGTGATGGCTTTCCTTACCCTACAAAGTACTGCAGACAGCTTAAGCATGAGCTGACTTACAGTTAGGACATTTTCATTCGCATGGCATATTCAGGGAAGAATTCTACCCTCACGCATTGAAAACTGAAATCAGATTTCCCACTCCCCTTCACTTCAGAGTGCAGGGTAAGTCCCACAGAATAGAGGCATTTGGCTAAACAACACCATTCCTTCAGGATACCCTTGGCTCTGGGTGCAGGGATGCAGAAGCATTTGGCTATACAACACTGTTTCTTCAGGATGCCCTTGGCTCTGGGTGCAGGGAGGCAGCAGCTCCCCACCTCCCTGCATGCAGCTCACAGCTGTGGAAGGAGAGGACCAGGAGCTCCCTTTTACTCATCCCTGAAACTTTTGCCTGGGCCCTGATTTGTTTCCTGTCTTAACACCAAATGGCTTAAAACCCAGCTCAAAAACATCTACTGTCAGCATTTTTTTCAGGCGGATTCATTTGATGGGAATATTTCTCTGCCTGGAATATTTGGGACAAAGATACACACACACAGCACAGCTGCTGCACACTCCCACAAAGTGTGAGGCTCTAGCAACACACTGCAAAATTGTCTGTGCATCCCCACTAATGGGTCCAGAGCCACGTGGATGGGCACAGACCTCAATCTGCCTCAGACACCTGAAAAAACAGCCCCTTGGAGAAATCCCTGTTTGAACAGAGCGTCTGTAAGTCCTGAAATCCCAGAAAAAACACACAACATTCTTAGACTCCACCAAAACAAATGTTTCCCGTTATATGCTATATCATAAGCTTTCTCTACGCCCTTGAAAACACCCTCAGTCTTCCTGCCTCTCCCTTTCCATAGCAACCTCTCAGCCTCCTCCTGACTGGCTCTTGCCTTGCCTGTGCCTATAAGACTTCATTGGTCACTGCTTTATGTCTTGCCTTAAAAGAACGTTTTTCTCTGACAAAACATCACCTAATTATCATGAAACTAACAGGCTGTGAGTGCTGTCCTACTCTCAGTACAACAGCAGCCTTTTTCTTAGGCACAAATGCGTAGCACTTAATACTTTGAGGCATGAAGCCTTTGCTTACTATTATTACAAATAATAAGAGTTTTTCTCACCTCTAGTCTTCACCTCAGAGTGCACAACTGCTCTGCATTGTTGGACTGTTAATGGAGAGCTCTGTGAGGAACTGAGAAATGATCCCAACCCATCTTGTCTTGCTAGACTTCTTTTTCAGGGAGTTTTCTCTACTGTTGGAGTTCTATCACATGCAGCATTAATCCTGCATTTGCAGTATTACTAAGGATGACCGTTCAAAAAAAGCCTCAGGATTTTTATCTTTCCTTCTTCATCTCATCACGAGCCTGGCTTAAAAACTGTAGCTTTCAGGAATATGCTGATATTAGAGTCTTTTTATATAACTTGGGTTGAGGATGTTAAGAGCCATGTTTTCAGGTTGTTTTCCATAAATGTAGGGACCAGAAATCTGTTTTTATTTTCCTAATGAAAACTAAAATTTGCACTTATTAATCTGACTTAATAAGCTACTACCTTGAGGAAAAAAAAACCCGTGAGTTTCATGACAAACCTGCAGCAGCTGAAGGGAGTGCACGTGGGCACCATTTTTTCTCTTCTAACATTACTATTTCAGTCTCAGTAGACAAGTGTACACATGGCAGCTAAAACAATCTGCACTCCCTCTCATCTCAGTTTTCTGCCTGAGCATCCCCATCAAAGGATGTAAGGAAGGTGCAGAAAATGCTTGCAAAACCACCAGATTGATAGTGGGCTGCAATCCTGGTCATGCTCTGTCCCTGTGGAAGACTCACAAATAGCAGTGTATAGATTCAGTCACTGACACAGGATTTCCAAGCAAAGCCCCTTATGGGCTCTCAGAGGAGTGTTTTAAGTTTTAAGTTGATACCCTGGTAATCGAGGTCATTAATGCACGTGCCCAAAGAACATAACTGAAGAGGAACCTGCTTTACATGTGCCCATTTTCTATTCTTGGAAGCACTCTGCATCACATTGGTAACATTTAGCTCTCTGGCCCAGCCAGGAGACACTCCAAGCATCCCGTCCATCTTATGTGATAGGATTCGAAAAGCTATATTTGTAAGCTGTGAATTGATAGCAGTAATATGCTGAGTGCACAGCACAAAAATGTATTGCCAGATATTTATCAACAGAAGCACAGGGCATGTTTATGTGCTGGAAAATTACTCAAATTGAGCCCATCCTGGGGATCTAACTCCCCCTTGTAGCTACTAGTACATGGGAACACCGCCAGGCTGTCTCTGTATGAAGACAGCAGACCCCAGTCTGCAGTTCACACCGTGCAACTTACCCCATGTGAACTCCTTCCCAAGGATGCCAGGACTCACATAGTGATGATATTTTCTTAACAGATCATACCCTTGGATTTGCAGCAGTATCTACAAGCCCTTATGGCATCTGCTAATATGGCAAAGCTAACACAGTCAGGGAAAAGATCATGAGATTTTCTTCTGGGTTGTGCACACATACACCAAATTCTCAGTGAAGTTGTCATGCTAGCATTGTCACTGCTGGCAGGAGCCAGGAGAAGGCTCTCTTGCATTTGGAGCAGCTGGTGGACATTGCAGGGCTGGTGGTGAGGCATGCTGAGTATTACCAAACACCACACTACTAATGGAGGTGGCCAGTTTTCCACCTAAGGATTTGCAGCTGCAGCTCATCTTCCAAGGAAGCTCTTGGTGCAGTAAACAAAACTGAAGGACCAGCTGTATACAGCACTTAGCTTCAATGGGATTTAAGCCCACAAGGTCCTGCACAGCTCCCAGGTGGTCAAGCCCTTCTAGAAGTATGCTGAAGATGCTTAGGACACACAAGAAGCCATGTGCTGTCATGCAGCATCCAGCTGCTTAGGTTCTGGCTGGTCACATGGAGCTGTCAGCACATGGCATGAAAATGCTGCAGCACTGTGCTCAGGCACTATGTGAGCCTAAAACGTGACAGGAATGGGTGTTTCTCATAGCAGCAGAAGTTGTGAAATCTTTGTCTCTTCCAACCTTTGTAAAAAGGAGGGTCCAGCTCTGCTCTGCCTCCTCTTAGTCAACCCCTGTCACTCTTAACAACTCAGCAGATGTTGCTCTGGGCTTATTCCAGCCAAGAGAAGAATCTGGGTTCTTTAAAAAGCATGCATCTCCAGCCATGATCCATGCAAGCAACACTTCACAATTTTAGATCAATATTTATCATAAATAAGCTAAGTTGTGTTACCATTATCTCCTACTGCTGCTTATGGTGCTCAGAGAGAAAAAAAAATACCACAACAGCCAAACCAATCCAATCTGTAGCTTAAATAAGAGTACATGATGAACTAGTCAAGTAAAACCAAGCCTTAAGGACAATAACAATTAAGAGTGGTCTTATTAAGAGCAGAGTATTCACCCCCAGATATACAGATATATACAGATATGCGTGCCTATATAAATATATGCACCTTCAAAACAGATGAGCACAGTACTCACTCTGAGTGACAAAAAGGCCCTCTGTTGACTTATCCTCATGCCCATCGAAGTCTCTGCTGGCTAGTTGCCTATTGGCTGTCTCCAGTCGTTCTGCAAAAAAACAGGAAATACTTAAAGTATAAATATATGTATATAAAATTGCAGGCCAACCAAGAAAATATGATGCATGCCAGCAGAGCAGTATAAATAGACTCTCTGAAGGAGGGCATTAAAATGGAGGCTGACACATACATAAAAGATGAGGCCTTTGACCTCTGCCATGAAGCTGGGTTCAGATTTACAGAAACTGGGGGAAAAGCTTCTGCCATCCACGGCTGATGCATCTGAACAGTTCACTTCTCAGGCTGTTCAAAATGCACAAGGCACTTGCAGTCTCAACTGCCCAGCTTTGATGGGGACGGGTGCCTTCCCACAGTGGAGTGCAACCCCTGGTCCAGCCAGATGCCTGGGGGAAGGCAGCCCCCAGCCTGGTGACACCCATCCTTGGCACTGCCCTGGGAAAGAAGCATTTTTCTGCAGCAGGCAACAGTTTCTCTTGGGAATGGCTGCCTTCAGGTGCCCCACTCCTCCAAAAACATCATTCAGAGCCCTTGCACTGTTCCAACAAGCATGAGCCAGCTTGCAGAAGGCATTTCATTGCCCAAAAACATTTCAAAGTACTCCCATCAGGCACCTGGACACTTAATAGCTCAAAGTAAAAGTCGTAGTCAAAAGTACTGCCTGAAGTTGGCTCTCGTATTTTCCCAGAAGGTTTCTTTGCAACTGGGAGGTGACAGCAGTTTTGTCTTAAGTCAATGAGAGGGGCCTGACTTCTCCAGAAGTTTATCTAAAACACATGTGAACCCACTCCTTTGAAGCCTGCTACTCTGAAGCTTGTGAGATGTGGAACACCATATAAACTGGGGGGAAAAAAAAACACAGAAAAGCAAGCATAACATACCACGGAGATCCCTGTTGAAGTCATGAAGTCTCCTAATTTCTCCTTCAAGTTTGTTTCTCATTGCTTTGTCCAAAGACTCCCTCTTAGTGGTGGTCTTGACCAGGCTCTCATAAGCTTCTGAAATCCTCTGAATCTCTACTTCAAACTGAAAGGAGAGAGAGCTCCCATTAAA